TTTCTCCTCCTCTACCATTCAACAGAAGTTGTTTATTTGCTAATACCCTGCCATCTGGGTATTTATAGAGGTGGGCTTCCTTTTGGGGTGGTGAGGAGAAGGAAAAGCTGCAGCAGCAACACCCTTTTTCTGTCCCCCTCCTGCCCCCCCCCCCAAAGCAGCCCCTAAATTCGGAAGGGGGCTCTCTTGCTGGGCACGCCCGCCCTCGGGGCGCACTCCGGGTGGAGACAAGGCTGCAGCCTCCTCTGCAGCTGCCCAGCCCTAGCCTGGGGTGGCGCCCGCCTCGGCAGCCTCGCCCGCTTAGTGGCTGCGCCGAACACAAAGCGCTGTCTCCGTGCAGAAGCCTTTTCCCCGCTGAACCAGACCCACCAAAGAGGAGAATCTGCACGTGACGTCAGTAGCTGCTGACTGACGCAGGCTGGCACAGGAGACTCGAGGCGGCTGCTCTGCGCTGCCTTCCCGAGGCTCTTTCCTCCAGCCCCCTCGTAGTGAATTACTAGAACGCACAACACACACACACACACACACACATGCAGCTTTCAAATTATACATTTCCAAAGGCGGTGTGTTGCAAACACTGCGCGATTTTGCAAAGCATGGGTGGGGGACGTGGGAAGGGGACGGAAGATTCCCCCGCTCGTTTGGGAATCTCCATCGCGGAGAGCATCAGTCTCTAGTCTAGAGCTTGCTGGGGAAGCTCCTCTGGGGAAGGGGCCTAGGCAGCCTCCTCTGCCCCAGACCGCAGGGAATCTGGTCAATGAAGATGTGAGGCTCTAAAAGAACACGACCCTCCAAAGCCTTCCGCTCTGGGAGGCTGCCAGGAGCTTGCAACAGGCAGAGGCAAACGGGAGTTGATGGGAGGGCCCAAAGCAGCCCCTAAACACTGTTGGCCATTTGCAAAGGGCTGTGTTTAATTGCAGGTTTATTTGTTCCTGCTCTGGGAATCTGTCTGTCTGTAACTTGGAATTTTATTGCTCTCTGGGAAGCTGTAGCTGGCTGATTCCGTGGGAGACCAAGCATGATGCGTGGGCGCAGGAAACAGAAGAGGGAAAAGAAGGAGGGAGGGAGAAAAAGGGAGCAGGGGAGAAAGCGGGAGCCGTAGAATCTGTTATTTGCGTCACTGGAGGAGCCGAGGCTCTCTGCCCGACAAACACCCAGAATTAATCCGAGTTAGAGCCATAGCTGTCTCTGCTACAGCGGCCAGTTGCGAAAGGGCGGGGGGACGGAGGCTG